GGGGGGCTGAGGCACACTTAATATTATCAGCGTTCTGATGGCATTTTAGCCAAAGGATTTTAATCAAAAACATAACTAATGTGCATAAATAAGGAATAGTTGTATTAACCATACATGGAAACAGAGTTTTATGGGGCCCCCAAGAACTTGGGGCCCTAGGCAACTGCATAGTATTGCCTAATGGTAAATCCCCCTGGCTAAATCTATAAACTTGTCAATTCTTTTAGATTAATTACTAATTACTAAAATGCAGCCATACTTCCTGCTGCTTTTACCTATTACATCAGTGTATTATTATTCAAAGATATAAAAAAATAAAGAATTAAAATCCTCTTCATTCAAAGATAATTATGTTTTTCTCCTCAGAGGCCTACTGGGAATTTACTGAGCTAATATTAGAGATTTAATTAGCCTGGAAGTTTCTGCTCCACTGTAGGTTAGAAAAGGCATCTCCTTTATAATAGTTCTTTATTTCAGACACCTTTACTTTCTTTCTTGCAAACAAAGATCAATGTGTCAAAAACCTGCAGCTTTTAAAGCCTTAACATCCTTTTGTACCTAACTTGAGCAACTAGGTAAGACAAGAAGACCATTGGACACAGGAGAAACCAGCTGTTTGTGCAGCTAATGGTTAGACGCCTCCTAGATCACCATTAATGGTCCATCCGTCTCACATGAGATAGATCCTTATTCTTTCCATTCCAGCTGAAAGTGAACTAGAAAATGGAACAAAAAGACTTTTGGACTAAATACAAAGAACGTTTTCAGAATAGCTGATTCTATAAAAGCTTCTTTCATGCTCCATCCTCCTATCACTGTTGCTCCAACACCCGCTATTGTCAGGCTTTGAAAAAACCATCTCAGATGTCTTTGTTGTTCGCTCATCATGTTTCAGGGTTTTTAAGTTGTGCTGATTCTTTTACAGGTGGAGCATCGCTATCGATGGAGGGTCACTTTAAAGGGTCCTTTGATTTATTGTGACTTCCTGAAGTAGTATTGTGTTTGAAATTTGACTGATCTTTATGGCCATGGCAGGAAAACTTAAAAGACTTTTAAAACATTAGAACATTAGTCTGCAGACTTCTCTGACTTTGTTTTGGCAGGTCTACTTTTTTCTAAATTTGGAAAGGAATAATTTTACTGCCTTTCTTATATGAAAGGTATAGTGGAGGATGTTTTATTTCCAGGTGGATCATCAGCGGTCCTCCTAACTGTCAATCATGGTGATATGTTTCCGTAAGGCTGTCCTTCGTGCTCGTCCCCATTTTCACTTACCGGTCATGAACCTGACATAGTGAAAAAAAATGCAAATCTTTGTTTGGAAGGTAAGCTTTGTGGAGTTTAGGAGGAAGCTGAGACTTGCAAGAGAATGTTCAAATGTATTTAACGCCCTCAGCCGGAGAGATAGGGCTCTGACTGGGGCAAACTCATTACATACATTTATACAGCAACTCCCAACACACAAACTGTCCCTTGGAACTATCCCAACCCTACACAAAGAACTTTCTCACACACAAGCATTTGGTTATTCCCAAGAAAAAAAAACACTTCAATTCCTTAAGGACATACATTTTAGCCAGATAAACACTGTGTGAACTCATTCTTATCTCTCATGACCCTCCCTTCAGCCTTTTCTAGAGTTGGGAGGAAACTGCTTTCTGTCATCCCCAATCTTGACTGGTACAACACTTCTGAACAATCAACCGTATTTAGGCCGAGGAAAGGCACGCTAACAAATCTCACAAAAGGCCAAGGAAAAAGTATGCTTCCACAGCTTTTGTAAGCAATGCAAACAGCAACATTTAAACAAAGCATGCACAAGGAGAAATGGGCTTGTCCACGTTCTCGCACGTGTTTAATAGGCGTTGCCTCTCTGGAGCAGGTACAGGGTTGTGCATGTGCATTTTTTTAAAAAGCAGAGTCTTTTTAAAAATTTGGCAAAATCCTCCACTACACCTTAAAGGATCGGTTCACTTGACGGGCTACATAGTACTGCCTTGCAGCCAGAAGGTTCTGGGTTCGATTCCCGGCCCGGGGTTTTTCTGCATGGAGTTAGCATGTTCTCCCTGTGGGTTCTCTCCGGGTACTGCGGCTTCCTCCCACAGTCCAAAAACATGACTGTTAGGTTCATTGGCTTCTCTAAATTGTCCTTAGGTGTGAGGTTGTGTGAATGGTTGTTTGCCTTCTTTGTCCATTTGTTGCCCTGCGATGGACTGGCGACCTGTCCAGGGTGGACCCCGCCTCTCACCCGTAACCAGCACCCTTCACCACCTCAGCTGGGATAAAGCGTGATGCTTCGCTCTTGATATAAATGGTTTTACTCCTATTTAGAAAGCTATTTTTCTAAGCAGAGCAGACCTTACCTGATGGTTGGAGTGCCCATCTCACATTGTAGTTTCTGTGTTTTATCATCCTTCAGGCTCACTAAGTCAGTAATGGGAGTTGGTCATGATCTGTGGGATCTTTAACAAATTTTTAATCAATTACATTTCCATAAATTAATTTGTTAGTATTAGTAAAACAGAAACAGAAAAGATGAAGCTATTATAAGAAACAAAAAAAGCTGAGAAAACGTAAGGAAGTTGAATTTGAATTTACAAACTGCTGAATCGGAGATTAGAAGTGGACTGAATAGGAGAGAAAACTGGTCCCCATGTCCTCCTGCAGCCTAAGCTTATAGCAGCATCACTACAGATTTTTCTCTGTATGCCCCCCAGGAACCCTTAATCAGAAAAACTGGGCCAAGAAGTTCCCGTTATGCAGCAGCGCTAAGCAGTCTCCCATCAACATCAACGAGAACCTGGCTCCAGTTAAGCTTCAGTACCAGAAACTTCGATTTTATGGGTGGGAGACCCCGACGCCTGAAGGCACCACCATCAAGAACGATGGCAAGACAGGTATGGGAAGTCAAAGGGGATTATCTCTAAACTGCATTAATCAGCAGACACATAGCCTGCATACATAGAGTCAGTCATGATAGTATTGATTTTAAAGTATATTTTACAACGGAGTATTAGGGCTAGGCTAGAGATTCTTTTTATTTTGAGAATAAAGTCATTACATTGCAAGGATAAAGTTGTAATATTACGAGAATAAAGTCGTTTTATTTCGAGAATAAAGTAATATTACGAGAATACAGTCAATATAATGAGAAAAAAGTCAAAACATTAGAAAAATAAAGTCGTAATATTACAAGAATAAAGTCATAATATTACGGGAATTAAGTAATATTACCAGAATAGAGTCATAATATTACG